AGAATCAAGGTAATTTTTACAAATATGACTGGGGTATCATCTGAAACGGTTTGAAAAAAAACGATAAAATCATTTTGAGACAAATTGACGGGAGTATGACCCTTATCGATTGAAACAGTCGTAGTGGACGCAATATACACAAGACATGATAAGTTGTACTCTTGCTTGATATTTGCTCCTAATCGCCTCATAGGTTCCTCGTCGTAAATGGCAAAAAATGCTAAAGTTTTGCTTCTTTCGAAATTTTAAAACGGAATTTCGTAAATTGGCCAATAGCGATTCAATTATGGTGCTTGATTAGAAGTTTTCAACTTTTATGACAGCGTAGTTATACCGTCTCAGTTCATTGCGTCGAGCCTCTAATTCGAATTGCATAAATCAGGTCCATGCTCGTGATTTTCAGGGCTTAATAAGCAACTCCAGGGGTGCGTGATAGACTTTTTTTCACATTGATATTTCTTCTCCTCTGTGAGGCCTGAAGTCACCTAAAGGGCTAATGAGACCATCAAAATACTTGCCATTTGATATAAATATAAATAAATAAGCAACTCCAATTGTAATAATGAAAGCGAATCTTATTTCCCAAAGCATTCACTCGCTTCAAGTTGGGAAAACTGGGTATCAGTCAGATTCTATTCACGTAGAATGATCTAATGACACCGAGTTAAGAGATTTTAGGCGAAAACTTAAACGAAATTTGACATCTCATTCATCCATTATACTAACCGCATTTCAACTGTCATTGTTCAAGTTATTTGTGAGGGGTTTTTTTTAAAATTAAAGTCTTGTGGTAATATGCACGGAACCAATAGTACATCTTCAGACCAACACCAAGGCGCTCGGATTGACTTAAAAGTCGCTCGTTCCGAAATCTAAAGATGTTCAAAGTACACTTGCACAAATTTGTCTACAAAGCTCAATGCCACGAGTTCTATTAGTAGTAATCTGAGTAGTTTACGAAACTGTTACTGAATGGAAAAGTACAATTTTGGTTTCCAATTGACTCCTATTCAACGTATACTCATTTCATTTGGCAGCCTTTTAACAATAAGTAGATGATAACATTTTTAATAGTCTTCTGAAACTGGGAATTAATTCCCAATCACCCAATGTATTTATTCAAATAAACTAACTTCGTATTTTTGCTAACCTATATTCGAATTCTGCGTAAACATTACTCAAACCTTCGCATAAAGTACATTGGCTTAACATTCGATTTGATTAAAGCCAATCAGCGACTGACTTTACTGTGAAAGTTTGACGTAGGCAGCAGACCACACCAAGTCAGTCAGTCTGGGGGTGTATATGTGTATGTCAAAGACGCCAATCGATACGGGGTATGAATCAGTAGTCAGCACTGTCATCAAGGTGCACAAAATAAAAAAAATAATGGTGTTCATTTTCATTTGAATGTTTTATTTAGAACACATACCAAGAGAAGTTTATTTATTTATTTATTTCAAATGGCAGGCGGTTTGATAGTTATCATTAGCCCTTTAGTTGACTTCGAGCTTAAAGAGGGAAGGAATATCAATGTAACAGAAAGTCGAGGGGTGGGGGAAGCAGAAGAGTGATTCACAGATGCAAAAGAGACAGACAGACAGACACAAAGGCAGAGAAAGGGTAAGGCGAGTACTGTGAAAGGGGGCGAATTTCGACAGGGGAAATGAAGAGCGATTCACAGATGTAAAAGAGACAGACAGACAGATTTAAAAAGGTAAGATGAGTACTGTGAAAGGGGTCGAATATTAAAAATAGTGGGTAAGGCGAGTACTGTGAAAGTGCTCGAATATGACATACAATAGGGTCATAGTAGTTTGAAGTCAGAAGTCAATTGTCGGTTAATAGACCTTTTTTGCCGTATGAGTATACGTTACCCAGGGTGCACCAGTTTTTTGCCGTATGAGTATACGTTACCCAGGGTGCACCACTTGAAGGTAAGTCTATCGCACTAAGAGGAGTAAAGTCATAAATTTCAGGAAAAAACATTCGCCTTTCCCCCCTCCTTCACCAAACGATAGTTTTTTTAGTTTTTGTTCAGCAAGAGAATATATCCACTAGACCTCTGTTCAAGCCATTTATGCTAAATAAAAACGATTGAACTTTTTACAAATTTTATTATTTATAACAATTAGAACATTCTTTAACCGTTACAAAAATAAAATCTCGAAATTATCTTCAAGATTTTGAGACGACTTTCGCTTCTCTCTCTCTTCATCTTGAAAAGTCCTTTTCTCAAAGTCTATTCCTATTCACCGAATGTCTATGCAACCTCCTCAACGCAAATACTTCAAAAAAAGCCATAACTTGCTAATAATAATAAATCCAAATCCAATCCACAAGTAACAACGGTGTCTGCGTCATCGTCCTTTTAATATCCGTGTCATTGTCGCAAATGAGTCAGCCTCTTTTTTGACCTTACTATTCAACCTGAGCCCCCCCCCTGCCCTGCCCCGCCCCCCCCCATCACCCCTACTAAGCAAATGCCGAGTCATATCTCTCTGTTGTAATTTTTTTTCTTATTTTAGTAAATTTCCGTTATATGGGAAAACCAAGGGGATTTTCAGGCAAATAGATAAACAATTACGAGTCGGAAAGATAAACAAACTAGATTGAATTAAGCAAAATAATAATGTGTTAATTTCCACTGCCAAATAATTTCAGGAATTTCATGGTGAAATTCACCTATTGTGGCATAATATGCACTGGTGGGAAGTTTATTCGAATACTTTCGGTTCACTCAAAAAATATTCCCATGTTTCTTGAACTTTTATTGGATTATCGGGTTGTGAATTTTTTGGCCCTTGAAGAGGAAGATATGCACGATCAGTAGTGAAAGTACCACTGTTTAAATTTTTCGCCTAACTGGGCAGCCGATCATCTGCCATGTATCCAGTACTAAGCAATTCAATTTATTTCCTTAAAAACGGAAAAGCGTAATTTGAAGAACAAGCTTACTTCCACTTTCATAATTGTAAAACAACTTAGCTTCTACATGTTCAGTAGATGGACATCGATGCGTTTTAATTTCTTCTTTCCGTTGAAGGATTGCAAAATAACTCTCTATATGTATTTTTATGAAAGTTTAAAGCTTTCGGCTAACAGAAAGTTAGAAAACCAATTTTTCCCCAACAGGGTTGATGTTGAATAACTGCATACCGTAGATGCTCTATTACCCTATAGATGAGAATCAAGGAAACAGGCACAACAGGTTGGTAGTTTTGAGTGGTTTAAGAACTAATATAAATGAAAAGGAAAATTCGATAATTGGTTTTCTTTTCTTCTTTCAGTTTGTGGAGCTCAAAATTGTAAAAGGAATCGGTCCTACACAACTTATATCCACAACTCCCATGCCGACTTCCTGAAAGCTGAGTGATAACTAAAGGAAATATCACCTATATACTCCCACCATTAAAGATTTATGGACAAAACGGTCTGGACTGTGCAGAAATCGTTAGGCTAAAGGCTAAGATCTCCCAATTCTGTGATCCGTCTCCCTTTCCCCCAGCAAAACCACATGTTATCCCCGTCCTCCCCAAATCATTAGCAAGATAATTAGCTGATTTTGAAAATCGTTTCTTTTCCCAGCCGCCTTCTTCATATAGACTTACCTCCTCGTGGTGCACTCTGGGCAACGTATAATCATACGGCAAAAAAGTCTATAAACCGGCAGTTGACTTTTCACTTCAAACTACCATCACCCCCACTGTATGTCATATTCACACAGTACTCATCTTTCCCTTTCTGAGCCTTTGTGACTGTCTGTTTCTTTTACATCTTGAATCACTCTTCTATTCCCTCTCCCGAATTCTTTTCACTTTGCTGTTCCTCCTCCACTCTGTGAAGCCCGGAGTCAACTAAAGGGCTGATGATAACTATCAAAACGCCTACCATTTGTTATAAATAAATATAACCAAGAACTTCGGTTTGTTGTGGCCCATAAACTGATGGGTTCATCTTCAACCCATAGAGGCTGTCATATTCTCTATGAGTAAGTATTTAGCCAATGCGTTGACAGTATAAACCACTGTAACGTTCAGTGAGTGAATGCGGTCAATTTACACTACTGCCACCGCAACGCATTATTAAAGGAAAAAAATCCTTTCCCCTAAAAATCGATAAATGATATAGATTTTTTCTGGTATGAGACATTTTTTCGTAAAAAAGCCGATGACTGAATTATGCACCTACATATAGTCGAGATAAGCTTTAAAAGGAGATGGAATTGCGGGGCAAGAGGAAATAAGCGTGGCAGGATCAGTACATTTAGCAGGTTATGGATACAAAAGGAACACATCAGCGGAAGTGTCTAGGGATCACTCTTGGGGATTTTGGATCTTTTGCCTTTGGACTCATTCTCCTTTATCTCGCTCATCAACCAGTCAGGAAGTCCAGTACTCGAGGAGGGTGATGGAGTTCGTGAATTTTCTTTTGCGAGGAGCACTTCTTCGGGGTCTAATAGTTCAAATTTCTCCGTTTCTTCTGTCAGTGGATGTTGGTTATCACACCACTCTTCTGGTTCATAAGGTAAAGGTGTTGGAGGTTGTGGAGAAACAGCATAGAGTAGATCAGGACTTCCAGCATGCAGGGGATTTGCAGTATAAATCTCTGCGTTTCTCCCGTTCATGGAGGAGGAACCGTTTCCATTCAGCCCTTTGTCTAAAAGAAATTTCGCAGGATGGTCGTCTGAAACGGGCTTCCGGCTTGCCGAAGCCATCATAGACTTCCTCTTTGCCTCATTCGTCTTCTGCCTTCGCTGGAAGAATCCGCAGCAGTATAGAGATGCGATGAGTCCAAAGAGAAGCATAATTCCACAAACAATACCAACAATAATCGGCCAGAGTGGGATTCTGGAGCGGTATTTTCCTGGCACTCCCCGAAACACGACTATTTGTGGAAGCTCATAAAATGGTGATTCATCCGGAAAATCGAACCGCGCTTCGGGATAGTTGAGAAGGACCTTTGGTGGCTCTCCCCAATCCAAAATACTCAGTTTGGTCACGAACTTGACATCAGGAAGCTGCTTTTTGAAGAAAGTGGGTGTCCATAGCCATCCCGTTAGACTGACACGAACTGTACCTGCTCGAGGAAGTTTATTGAGTCTGCAAACAACTCTAGCGCAGACGATATTGAAATCCAGCTCATTTCCGTAATTGCCAGAAGCGGGTAAATTAGATGAGGAACAGGAAATTGTTGTTTGTCGTTGACCTGCTCTCTTGAAGTAGACGTCCACTCGGTTGTCGCCAAAAGGACTGATGAATGTCACTGCGCTAGGTTTTAAATCTATATTCTTATTCTCCTCAACCGACCTTCGACGACGAATTGCTGATTGGCTAGATCGGAATGATTCTACAACAAATAATAAAACTGCTTAAGAATGGTTTGTGCTTTTCCAGGCGTACCCAATTTACGCATAAATGGAAAATTTTAAAATAATATAATTATTTGCCAATTCAAGACACTTCGGTTGCAGGATTCAAGCACCCTTTCAGATAGACCTTAAGAACTAGTCCACATCGATTTCAACCATTATAAGAAAACCCGCATGTGCAAAGGTTGTAGTAGATGGACAGCCAGATTTTTACCATTGACAACTTAAAAATATTTTTAAATTGAGAAACAAACTTTGCCGAAGGCCAATCATTTAGTATACTTCGAGCGGAGAGGAAAACAAAGATGTGATGAGGTATCACAGCGTATTTAGCATTATGTACAGAGACAGACCATCATTGAGTGTATGTCACTGAGGACCAATCCTACTTAAGTCGCGCCTTGTCCAATAGGAAATTTATTACACGAGCAGACACCAGAGGAGGGATACAAATTCAATATAAAATAGCCATACGGTATGAATTATGGTCCAGACCCCAATTATTTATTTATTTATTTATATCAAATGGCAGACATCTTGATGGTTATCATTAGTCATTTAGTTAACTTCAGGCTTCACACAGGGGAACGTACATCAAATTGAAACAAGTCAAGAGGGGGGGGGGTTGAACAAAGGAGTGTTTCAAAGATGTAAGAGACAAACACAAAGGTAGAACAAAGGTGAGGTGAATACTCCGGAAATAGTCGAATATGGCATAGAGTGAGGTGATGGTAGTTTGAAGTGAGAAGTCAACTGCCAGTTAATAGACTTTTTTGCCGTATGAATATACGTTTCCCGGGGTGCATCACGTGGAGGTAAGTCTATCGCACACCCCAGACCCCAATTATTACTATTAC